GATAAGGAGATGTTACATAGAATCAGAAGGATGTGTTCTAGAGTCCCAGCATCACTACTTACTTCCGGTATGATCTTGACATAAAGCCTGTAAGAGATTCATGATGACCAGTCTTTGATATATATTGTAAGAGCTCAATTAATATTCATTCTCTTAAAATCTTTTGGTGGTTTCCCATTGCACATTGGATAAATTTTCAAGTGATTTAGTATTTTAGTGTGAAAAGGAATGACTTACGCAATTTGGTCCTAACCTACTGACCTTAGTCCACTAGGGCTGTTATAACAGAATACCACAGAGTGGATGGTTTATAAATAACAGAAATTTATGGCTCACAGTTCTGAAGGTAGAAAGAGCAAGATTAAGGCACAGGTGGTTTTGGTGTCTGCTGAGAACCTGCTTCCTCATTCATCGATGGGCTCTTTTTCATTGTGTCCTCATGTGGTAAAAAGGACAAGGGAGTTCTCTATGATCTCTTCTGTAAGGGCATTAATTCCATTCCTGAGAGTTCCACCCTTATTACTGAATCACTTTCCAAACCCTTCATCTCCAAATACTATCACAATGGGGATTAGGTTTCAACAGATGAATTTTGAGGGGAAATAAACATTCAGTCTATAGGACTACACTTGCAGTCATTGCTCTGGGCCACTTTGATTAAGAACCTTCTGCTAAATGAAAACCAGTCCATTTATTGTTCTAACAGGAAATCATTTTGCCCCATCAGCTTTGGTTCTTTATCAGATAAACAGATTTTGTGGGGTCTAAAGTTTATGCTACTTGGGAGATCTTCTTTAAGAAGGATCGGAGGGAGGGAGAGAGGAAGAAAGTTATGAATACAACATAGAGTACAGGTTTGGCGAGGGACCCATGCACCTTAAAGTTCATTTGCTTCCTACTCAATCTTTCTCTGCCCATTGCACATTTTGATCAGATATATCCTTTCCCTTTTCTCTGCTTATTAAATATAACCTACTGTCAACTGAAATAGTACCTCCTCTCTGAAGACTGCCAAGTGTTTCACGCCCACTGCAATATTTTTCTCCTCTGAATTCTTCTAGCGCTTATTATCTGCACTCTTAACTTAGGCTGCATTGCATATTGATTTATACAGTTACTTAAGTTGACGTGCGTATATGATTTTACAAGATGTCTAATTTGATTACTGATTCCCTGGGTATTGGTTCTGTTCCAACCCCCACCCCACTTTAGTGTTTTGTGTATGTAGGTGGTCAGTATTTGTTTGCTGATCTATATCAAAGATATTTCCAAGATCCTTTTTTTAGTGAAAAGACAGTACAAATTGTTTTTGTTTTATTTAAATATAATTTGCTCCAATTATAATTCCAAAGGCACCAAACCCACCCAATTAAGATTAAATAAAGCTCTTTTTATTTACATGTCATATAAAATGTATTAAGTAAACTAAATTGATATAGACAATAGATTTCTTCTAAAAATTGATGCTGATGAGAATTATGGGGCATCTCCCTTTCATTTTTTGTTACATTTCAGTACATTTATATGATGATAATTTTCTCGAATTTTTTACTAAACAGTCAGCTCAGTGCATTTTATAGTGTCTTTTCCTAAAGAAGTCTACTTCTAAAATAGTGTTATCCATATGAAAGAGGGTGTATTTCTAAATGAAGTGTCATTAAAAGCGGCAGGAAGGAGAGCATTTATGCACCATGTCTTAAACCATCCTTCCTTCATTTGTACTGCTGTGGAAGTATATTTCTTAAGCCCTTGATGTGACTATATCAGCAAAATATGATAAATTAACATGAGTAATCCTCGACTTTTATTATACTGTATCTTTTCACATGAAAAGCATATAAGTAGGCATGAAATACCATGAATTTTCTACCCCTAACTGCATTATATAAAGAGCTGTCGTAGGCATATGAAGTGCTTTTAATCCGAATGAACTTCATTAGCTTTGGATTTAGTTGTGCATTCAGGGTACAAGTTGAAAGGCCTACCTGTTTGCTCAGGCTTTTCTTAGAGTTTGCCTGAGCGATGCAGAAGGGATATAGTCAGATGGGACAGAGGTGGTTGAAGAAATAATTAGAAGAAGCACTTTTGAACACTGGCAGAAATCTATTTAACACAAGAGGCATTTCATCTAGAACTGATCAGGAATTGTCTTCTGGGAGCTTCTAGTCAGGCCTTCAGGAGAAGGCCTCTATTACCTCTGGACCAAGAGGAACCCCAGGCCGGGTGCAATATGTGGGAGCATGTGGGGTCCAGGAGAGAGGGGAAAGGCACCCCCAGCACAACAAGAACTAAGGGCAGGTATCAAAGGCCTGCTCGGGGCCAGGCGTTACCCTAGCCGTTGTACACATTCTTCTTATTTAAGCCTCGCAACAACCCAGTGAGGTGGATATGGTGACTTTCCTCATTCTGCAGATGTCCTCTGAAGGTCAGAGAGGTGAACTAACTTGCCCAGGGCTACAGCATTAGGTGCAGGCAGAGCTGAGATGTGAAGCCAGACAGTCTGGCTCTGGAGACTCTCTGTAGCCTCTCTGGGATGCAGAGTGCCCAGAATAAATTAGTGATTAAGAAGACAAGGACTCTATGTTAAAGAAGTTTACATTTTATTGAGGGATGGCTGTTATCTAAAAGCAGAATAATGCATTCCTACTAATATACGACATAAGCAGTGCTTATAAGTAAAATAAAGGGAAATTAAAAGATAAAAGACATTAAAATAAAGATACTGTCCACATGGAAGACAAGAACTCTGCTAACCCACACGTGGCCCTGAGACCCCCAGTAGCTACGGAGTGAATCCAGGCCAAACACAGGCACGCGCACGCATGTGTGTATGGAGCAAAGGGCAGAAGGGGGCAATTACCATTCTCAAAGAATTCCTAATCTGGCAGTGAGTCAGTCACGTAAAAAAATAAATATGTCACAGATCAGAGTAAGTCCTGGGAGAAGGGAATTGAAGCCCACAGCAACAGGAGTTTTACTAACGCTGGTACTCAGGAAGGACTTCCTGGAGGAGGTGATTATGTTTAGATATGGAGTTTGTAGCACCTCGCTCTATATTAATGGGAGGTAGAGGAGGAATGCCAGACGGAAGTAAGAGCAGAAGCAAAGTGAAGGCGATGGCTGGCCCAGCACATACTCAGTGCGTCTGTGCATACGGCCCAGTAGAGATGGCTGTCGGGGAGCACCGTGCAAGGGGGGAGGTGTGAAAAGGTAAGGGGTGGGAGACCAAAACCACGCAGCCTGGTAAAAGCCATGCTGTGAGGGCATTATAACGTCTCGGCAATGCCTCGCGTCTTTTGTTGGAAACTCGGGGGCTTCCCTGGGGTTCTCCTGTCCAGGGGCTGCTTGCTCAGAGAAGTGTTGTGGAAGATTCCTCTTATGGAAAGACAGGGAAGGAGGGAAGGCCACAGACCAGGTGAACCAGCGCACACATTAACATACTGGTTTATATGAGAAGCAGCAATGGCTTGAATTCAATAAAGGATGGGAGGAATATAGAATATGGAATAGAAAGTTAGATAGCCCAGTGGATCTTTTTCACTTAAAGAGCACCCAGGAAATACACACAGAATATCTCACCTTCAGTATCAGCCCAATTGAACAAGGGGAAAGGTTCTCCCATTATACTTAATTGACAGTTGGTTCACTCTGCACAATGCAGCATTAGGTATCCTTCCTACTAAAATCTCACCAACTAATGAAATAAATTATGACAGATGAAGAAATCACACCACTCCTCTTCAAATTCTAAGTCAAAGAACAGGTCAGAATCAAACACACTGGCATGTCAGTCTTCAACGTTGGTATTTCTGGTGCATTTAAATACTTCTCTGTTATTTGCAGAAATGTGATGTCTTTTAAATAAAGTAATGACCTTATTAACCCACTCTTATTAGGACATATACAAACTCCAACAGTTTTTGGTGATGATTAACTGAGTTATATATAGTACATGTAATGGTGTCTGGCATATAGTAAGTGCTAGGAAACTCTAAGCTATTATTATCATTATCATTTCTATTCACAGTAGTAAGGTTAGTGTCTTGGGCTAGGGTGTTTAGTCTGATTTAATGCTGTTCCTATGATCAACTACAGATGTTTGCAAGGGGGCTAGCCAGGGTTGTAGATGCAGCGCACTGATGATCAGTGGAGCTAACTGGAATCCACTGAGATACTCTAGCATCTACCATCAGTGACTTAACCACCTTCACAATACAGAAACCCAGAAGCTTGTCTAACAAGTTTATTTTCACAGGTGAACATTTGCAAATATGAATACGACCTTAATTAGAAAAAACAACATGATAAGGATACTCAACACTGTGATCCACAATGAAAGCAAATCCCGCTGTCTTCAAGCCAGTGGGTGTTATTCTTGCATAAGAACCCTAGGATCGTGCCCTTAATTAACTAATTATTTAGAAATTAGAAAGGAATCACTTAACAAGGAACACACACCCCATGATACAAGTGACAGTGGTGAGTAAATTTACTTTTAAGAATTAATAAAGAGTGTCAATGAACTACATATGGTATTCATGTGTAATTAAAAACAAATTGCAGTGCAGAGAAACATGAAACATGCTAGTAAATTAATCTCCTCAATTAAACAAAAAAAAGTCTCCCAAAATTTTTGATAGAAAACATATGTATTTTCTGCATGAAATATGGAAATGATTTCCCTCTGTCTGACTCAATGTTTGTTTAAAAGAATCAACAAGATTGCAGCCATATATGGGGAATATTTCACTGACACGTGAGCAAGAAGACCTTGAACAACAACAGCAGAAAACAGGCCCCTCCTCATTTGCTTTGGCAGCATTTCCCCCTGCTAATTAAACACCGTATAGTTGAACAAGTAAAAGTAATCTACCGTGAATAGTATTCCACCTTTTTTTTTTTTCAGTTTTCTGTATAGTGATAAATACAACATTCCAGATGTATAACAGGAAGCAGAATCACTCAGATTTATGAGGTACTCTCCCCCCATTTCCTTGCAGAAGAGAGAATCCTGGACCTGGTGGGCTGTGTTCTCCGGGAAAGCAATCCCAGCTTATGCTCTGTGAAACTCACGGTAAGCCTCAATTAGCAATGAAATACCGCAAACCTCCCTGTTGAAGAAGAGTGGGACTCTAACCAAGTAATAAGGGTAACACTCCAGGGAAAATATAAGAGATCCCCAAATTCTCTATGTTACACTCAGTGGAATTTATTTGAACCTCATCTTAACTTCTTTTGACGTCATCTGTGTCGTCATGCATTTATCTGTGTGATGGCTAAGCTGGTCGCTTACTTCATAACCTTTACCACTCCTCTCTTCCAAAATAAGCAACCCATAAGGACACAAAAAGGAAAAACATAAAAATAAAAGGGAGTTGATAGGAGGGTAGGAAGAATCAGGATAAATAATAGAAGACAGAGCCAAGTATAAAATTAACGCACAAATAATTTAATTCCTTACATGACTTTTTAGAAACTGGCTACAGATTTGCCTCTGAGCTTCCTAAGAGTCAACCCAAAGACGGAAACATGGTCAATTACTTAACACACAATTGCAGAAAAATGAAGGTTTTCACGTGCAGAAAGAACCCGTGTAGGATAGTGAACAATGCTTTTATGCCAAGGTATAAAAGCAGCCACTTAATGCGTACCATGTGCTACCAGCATCTTTATAATAAATCTAAAGACAGGTTCTCCATGACTTTTTAAAAATGTTTCAGTACGGCCTGCTGGCATAAGCCTACATACCAGTCAAAATAATCTGGTTTAGCTTTCCATGACCTGGATTATTCCAAGGACGTCCTTTGGATTTGGGAAGGGCTAAAAATACTTTAATTAGTAGTTCTTAAAGTGTGGACCCCAGACCGGCAACATTAGCATCACCTGGGAACTTACTAGAAATACAGATGTTTAGGTTCCACCTCAGACCTTCTGCATGAGAAATGCTGGGAGTGAGGCCCAGCAATTAATCAATTAAATTGCACGTTGGAGAAAGATAACAAGGGGAATTTATAGTTGAGAAATGCAAATAAAACATGTTTATACAACATATACCTTTTAGTGTTCCTGGAGTATATACTGTGAAACGAATGACTTGGTCAAAGGAAACTGAATGAACAGAGGAAAGAATTTATGAATTTAGAGGGTGTTTCAGAAAAGAGTTGTTATTTTAGGAAATCTTAAGTACTTAGTAGAGAAGGTGAGGAATGGAGTGATAAAAAGGCTGTGAGAGGGGATAGGTTATGTGACTCATGACAAAACTATGTGATCCTGAGCGTAGTTGGTTCTGCTTTTACGTGAAACAAAAATATGCAACACCAACAGCTGTATTTTAAAGATTGCATCTGCTCAACCATAGCAGAGTCAGTCATGACTTCAGTGTTGTGAGAAATGCTTCATGAAATAGGGTGTATTGATTTGCGGTTCTGAATGTTCAAAGGGAGACCAGCCATGGAAGTTCAGATATATTGCATTGCTTGGTTCATTATCATTAGGTATGTAATTACATATTATAATTTTAGATATATATTTATATATTATATATATGTATTGAATTTAAAATACAAAATTCAAACATAGTGCTGTGGACTGAATTATATTCCCCGAAATTCGTATGTTGAAGCCCTAACCCCCAAATGTTATGAGTTTCGGAAATAAGGCCTTTGGGAGGTAACTAGGTTTAGATGAAGTCTTGAGGGTGGGGCCCTCATGACAAGCTTAGTGCCCTAATGGTAAGAGACACAGAGCTCACCCTTTCACCCCCTCTCTCTTTCCCTCCTCCCCCTCCTCCTCTTCCTCTCTCCCTCTCCCTGCCTCCCTGCTTTCCTGCCTCCCTCATCTGCCACCAGGTGAGGACACAGCAAGAAAGCAGGCATCTACAAGCCAGGAAGAAAGCTTTTAACAGAAACCAACCATGCTGGCACCTTGATCTTGGACTTCTAGCCTCCAAAACTGTAAGATAATAAACATCTGCTGCTTAAGCCAAATAGTCTTTTGCATTTTGTTAGGGCAGCTCTAGCTGACTAAGATAATAAGTTTGAAACAATTTGATTTTAGTCCTTTAAAATTTAGGAGGAATTTTTAGTGCTTTAGAGATTTATGATGCAGTCTTCAAATTACTAATCTCTGATAATTGAAGTGATTATTGGAGGCTTTGTTTCAGACAGTAAGGCGCACGAGATGTTCTGCCAGGTCTTCTTGCCATTGTGGAAAAACTAGACCATACAACATTTGACTCAGGGTCAGATTTGGCCCATGGCTTTGGTGGCCAGTCCCTACTCTGTACCATTGAAAACTAATGATCATGTAGTATATCATTTTTGTAAAACTGAAAAGCAACCAAATCTAAGTAACACATTTTGTTGTGATGAACCTATTTTTAAAAGGATTCGGTAAGCACAAAATTCAATATAGTGATTACCTCTAGGGGAGGAAAAGGAACGGGGGCATATGAATAGACAAACACCTTTAATAATATTCTAGTTCTTAGGTTGTATGATAGAATCACGGGATCTTTTCTTACTGTGCTTCATAACTCACATATATGTTTCATATATTCTTTTTATATTTCAAATTTTACATAATTAAAAATATCACTGCCTCCCTAAATGCTTTAATTTTCAAGATGCGATTCTTTGCTTAGTGGTTAGGTCACTGGTTCTCCATGACATCATGTTTCTCACCACCAAAGGACCAGTTGTGAAGCCTTTCAGGGGAAATACGTGAATAAATTAATTTAGACAGACTGACATAGGCAATTATGAAACTCTTTAACATGTATAAATATTGTATATATGCATACTGCCGTAAAAATTTTTAAATTTGAAATACGGGATAAAGTAATCTGTTTCCTGAGTTTAGAACAGTTCATAAGATTATGTTTATATGATTCAGAGACAAAGGCTCAATGGCTATATTGTATAGCAGGGACAGTTATAACGTCTGTCAACCGCATGTATATATTTTCTAAATATACACATTACACAAAGAAATTATAAAACCTCAAAACTATAGTTCACCTAAAATAAATATGGCACTGTATACAGGGTGTTGGCCTAGTGCTAAGTAATTATGGGAAATAACCTGAATGTGATCCTTAAGTTATACAGGCTTATATCAGGTTTCTGCAAAAATCGTATAAAATTCCTCTTTCTAAGGGTCTGCAGGGGAAACACAGAATATTAATTTCATGGAGTTCCATTCCAGTATTTCTGTAAGAATTATATGTCTGGATAAGGCAGTTACTACATACTGCACTAACATAGTTGAAAACATTCCATGAATTGAATAAGAATATTTCCATCCAAAAAGTGCCAAATAACAGGTCACCTCAAGTGAATGGAGAAAGGTATAATTATGGGTGCATTTAATACCTGTAATGAATTCAACTTTGAAAGCTTTCCATTGTTTATATGTCATATACTGGTTATAAATAAAATTTTAAAAGGTATAGCACAAAGAGAACATTAAAACTTCAAAGATTTTATATATATATATATATATATACATACACATATACTGTATTTGTTATGTTGCGATGACATACTGTATTATTCAGTTATATGAGATCCTGACTGCCAAGCAAAATACATTTGTCCAATCTCAAACTATGGATTTTTATTTTCTTTTCTGTTCAAATCCTTTGGATTTAAGCTAGCATTTATAACTATCAAAGCCTGATGGATGATCAGAGAAAGACTCAGAAAAAAATATTCACGTACTGTAAGTTAAAATATGAGTTTTTGGAGGGAAAAAAATCACCACTTTATAATAAATTGAAGTGATAAAAAGAATGTCCATTAAGATTTCATGGAAAAAGTGAAGTAATACTACTTTATGTTATTCAGATAAACTGAACATATTTCATGAGCAATGTTTTAACTTCTAAAAAAAATTATAAAAGTGAACTTTTGGGTAGTGTTGTAGATCCCCAAAGACACATTTTTTTAAAGTTTAAGTGCCAATGATATTTAAGAGTCGGAATGAATAGCGTTGGTAGGTGTCTTTCAAGTTATGATAGCAGCCTGTGTAATAGACCCTGAATTTTCAGCCATTTTCTTGGATTTTCTCATTATTGATTATGTTGGTCATTGCTAAAAATATTAAAGTAAATAGACTTTTTATGTATTTATTCACTCACTAAAAAGCAAGATTTAGCAATTCTCGTAAGTGTTTAGAATGTATTGTCACAGGAGGTGAAAAGATAAATCATATAATCTGGAGAATCACATAGTCTATTAAAAGAATATGTTTTTAAAACTTAATTGGCTTTCATTGTAGTAAATGCAAAACTGTGAGTTCTATTTCATATACTTTTATATTAAAATATCATTTTACTTCCTAATAGCCAGGTTTCATTTTCCCCATCTCTTCCCACAAGATCACCAAAATGACATTTTGTGTATCGTACCTTGACTGATTCATGTTACTTTCTTTTCATGGATATGTTTGTAGTATATATTATTTCTAACCACTTATGATAAAAAAATATTTTATTTAGAAAATTGGCACATGCTCAGTGAAAAGGGTTGGTAAACAGTGAACTACACAGATAACATTAGATATCATCTAGGTTTCCACCACAAATAAATGATTTCTGCTAATATATGGGCATACCTTCTTCCAGACACAGATTCAGATGCAAGCATGCATCTGGGTGTGAGTCTATGTCAGTAGGTAAACAGATGTGTGTGAAGCAGGCAGTAGGATCTTCTTGCATGCCTGAGAAAAATATGACCAGTGGTTACAAGGCAGCACCTAAAGAAAGCATAGATGCTGAAGAACAATGTATGGAAGTATGGAGGGCCCGGGCATGGTGATTATAACTATTTGCTAGCACCTTGTTACTCTAAAAAGTGTGGTCCATGGACCAGCAGCTTTAGCATAACCTGGGAACTTGTCAGAAATGTAAAATCTCATGACCCACCCCATACTTACTGAATCAGAATCTGCATTTTAACAGTATTTCTCTGCTTTTCATGCAGATTAAAATTTGAGAAGCACCACCCTAGATGAGTTGGGAGCCAGAAGATACACTGAGTAGATGAATCAGGGCCAACTCACTCATTAGAATAGACAGTGGCTAGAACTTATGATAATTTAAGGGTCCGTAAAATCATTAAGAATAAAAATTCATAAAAATTGTTAAGAATAAAAATTTAATGAAAATTAAATAAGAATTAAAAAATAAACTTTTAGGTAGAAGAAAATGTTTTAATACATGATCTGGTTGTATTCAGCTTTATATAAGCACAACTGTAAAATATGATTTTTCATATGAATTTTTAATGGAGGAAGGTGCCCAGGAAGACAATTTCCTAGGGCTCACAAAAGTCATAATGCAGCCCTGTGATGAATATTTTTCATCTTTCTAATTAAGTATTTAGAATAATTAGGATAATTAAATAAATGACCAAAATAAATGTATATGCGAATTCAAAATCTTAGAAGAACTAGGAATGGTAGACTTCTAAACCAGAAGAAACCTTAGAAATCAGAGGATACAGTCCATTTATGAAGATAAAGGAAAATATATATTTATCTGATGACAGATGACACTGATAATAATTTTCCTTGTTGTGTTTCATTTTAGCGTCGTTATTTTTAAGCTGGGACCTCACGTATAAAAGTTTACTAATACCTCTGAGCAACAGGGCAATATTTTTGATAGTTAAAACTAAAGGTGTACAGGCAATTCTCTCTGCTTTTCCTTTTTATATTTCAAATAAACTGTATAGAAATGACTTTGTTTATTCATCTAAGTTCACTTCACTTTCAAGGTCCCAGACTTAAAATTTTGATACTGAGCAGAGGAAATTTCTCTAACATCCATTAGCAAGATATTGAACATGTTTGGACTACAGCCTCCTACCCATGTATCCTTTACATTATATAAGATAGCGCATTCGCTGCCAAACATACATTTTAGAAATCAAATAAATTTTAGCGTAAAGCTAGTTAATGAAACTAGCAAATTTAGACTTGTTTAAATGTCAGTATAATATTAAGTACCATATGCTGTGTGCCAAGCAGTTAAAATTGTTTTTGGAAGGATATGAAATTAATTGTTAGAAAGAGAATTTAGTGACTTAAAGTACTTCACCATCAGTTTTATCATTTAATGCATCTTTTGGCAATTATTAAACCCTCGGGAACAGCATGAATATCCTTATCAAGTCTGGAAAGACACTAATGGGGAGGAGAATGGAGTGATGCTTGCATTTACATGTGGGCATGAGCCCAGAGAAAAGTGAAGCGGGGGGAACCATAAAAACACCCTTGGGCTCAGTGCCCGGGGCAGATACAATGGGCAGCCACCAGAGTCTCCAATAGCACCATTTCCTTCATTAATCCAGTGTTTTATTCCTTTTCTTCCTTTTGCATTTTTGGATGCTTGTCAGTTTTAAGGACAGACTTTTTGAAATCCCTGTGCATTATTTACTTCTTAGATGATTTACTCAAATCCATGATTAATAAGAAAGGCATATTAAGGTCAAAAATGTGTTGGAGAGTTGGGGTTGGTTGAATTTTAAGTTCTTAATGACAAAAATAGAAGAAAACAAGCATTAAGCACTTACTGCTAGGCACTGTTCTAAGCATTTTACAATTATTATTTTATTTAATCCTCCAAATTATCTTATAAGATATTTACTAGTTTTGTCTCCATTTTACAGATGAGGAGACTGAGGCACGGTGAAGTTCAATAACCATTTTAGTTTTAACTTGATGGGAAACCATCTCAAATACCTATTTCCCTGGCTTGGGAAATGCAGCTGTTGGATATAATTGCGCTTTCATTTATGTCTCAGTATCACAAATGCCTCAGTTATCGTGTAACAAAAATACTAATTGTGCTGAAAATATCAGCAGGCAAAGGAAGTTATTGGC